GACAGTCTCGTTCATGATCATGTTTGAGAGCTTGAAACTGAAATCTCATTAGTAGTCCAGGGTGAAGCATTTCTGTCGTCGGAACTTTGGACTGATGTCTCATCCGTAGATAGTACAGATAATGCATGCTGTTGACTGAAACATGAGGTATCTGGAAAGTCTAGCTTGTGATCCGAAGAAGATATGGGGATCTCGCTGGTGAGATGAACTTGTCTAGCTCTGAATCCCGCTTTATCATATAAGGCACTTTCATTTCCCTGTATTCATTTCACCCAATCAGAAATAATCTTGTTGATCAACAATTCGGGTCTTTTCGTGACGGGAGATGACGTGAAATGGTCGTTTGTGAGGCTGCTACAAACGCTTGCGTACCGAATCTGCTAGTATAAAAACTTATGAAGCGATGAATAACTTTTGACTATGTGCCAACTGTCAGTGCTCTATTGAAGTATAAACCGGACATCTTATAAAGTTCTAAAATATCTAGGTTGACTGCTTTTTCTGGCATATTTTAATCGCCTTTACAATTATAGCATGCAGACTGAATGCACTTGTCAAGTTATGATCTCACTGAAGGTACGCTTATTGACGTGCACTTAATATTATCCAACTGGGTCAACGTGACCTGAAGCTCAAACTGATCTTAACAAAAAGGATTAAAAAAAATTTTCTACCGATTACGCGGTGCAAAAAATCAAATTGGTAACATAAATAGAAGAGAAGCATGGTCTTTGTTCGAAGATGACATTCAAAAACTACTGTTAACAACTTTTGTGCAATTATACATGATCTCTAGATCTTGGTTCACTAATAACTGAAGATAACAAAGAATTCGAATCTCAGGCATCGATTTTTTCCTTAAGCTAGACCTATTTATTTCGTAATCACAACGTGCATGTAGACTCGCTTAACCTCACTGATAAGCATCACATAAAACTTAGACATGCTAAGTGGAATTCCTAGGTGGACTTGGGGATCATTCAGACCACGATCATGTTATTTCCGACCAAACGTTCACATCAGAAACATGGACTTTCAGAGATGTGACCGTACTCATAGATTGAATCGCGTATAGAATAAAGATGAAAGGAATTAGAATAGATCGTTGCGTATCCTCAGAAGGATCATTTCAAATTAACCCATATTTTCCATCTTCGACCAAACTGGAATAATTCGCTGCAACTGGGAAACGCTTAGAGAGGAGTAGTTTATTAGGCAAGTTATCATATATTATTTGCCATAGTCTTCGCAAAGAACATATAATGATTTACTGTTATCCAGATTCTCTGTCTCTCTATTTCTTCGTATAAGCATATTTGCTGTGCACGATCATTCATCCTATATATATGTTATTTAAATGTAATTTATTTCCATGTACGTTATAACGACATTGTTAGTAACCCTTTGTAGAAGATCAGCGAATAAAATAGGAGTCTGGACAGTTAATGGTTCAGTAAAAATTGTCTTCATCATGTTATATACTTATGAATGACAAATCCTTTTAAGCATGTGGTTACGTAAACCTTACCAAGCGTCATGACGATTAAGGAGATCAGTCATGCAGCAATATATATTGCAACCTGTCCCATGATTTTGAGTTTAGTTTTCTGCTCATGTCAACTTTGTTTAAAGAGCCCGAAGTCCTGTATCGAATCATCAGACTAGCTGTGCAAATGCTGGTGCTGACTTTAAATATTTTCCCTTCCATTCTAGTAATCTAATCTTCTCAAACTGTTTCCAGTGATCACAGTTCTTTAACACTTCAGTCCAGCTAGGTAGCATGTTTATGTTACATCCAGGAATGAGACAATGCTCTGTTATTGATGATACGGAGTCAAAGTTCAAGCTTTCGGTTAACACTTCAATGTACATCAGGTCTTCTTTCAATATGTTATAACGGGCCGATGTATCTTTTGGAGAGATCATATCAGAAATACTTTTGAACCAATTAGCGTTTCGAAATATTTTTCCGAAGATATTTTTATGAAACTTGGAAAATTGATCAAAGTTGCAAGGCATTTTTTTCATTTCACTGAAAGGCTAAGAATTTCGAAACCTATATAATAGTCACATCAATCCCTAATCTCTCAGTTCATACTACCTCATTTTTGTAGCCAAGTGATGGTACTTTTTAATGTTCGAACGTGAATAGATCTCCACTATATAAATCAGCAATCCCGATCTAAGGGTTTGGTATGACATGAACAGTTTGCCGAACGATGATAGTGTCAGTTCCTAAAATTACATTTAGCAGTGAGCACAAAGTAAACACTACCACATCCGTAGATCAGTGGTAGAAAAGCGTGGACAGAAAAGCTTATTGTCATTCATATGTTACCTGATAGCGCTGGCAGACGTAGGACGTCTTATAGTGATTGGATAACGTGAGTTGTAACTGACCATGAACAACACCACAGAATGATGAACTTTTTTTGACAAAATTTAATATTTACTACATGCAAGGAAAGATTCCAAGATTTTTCCGATAAGAGGTATTATATTTGCTGGCGATTGTCTATATACCGAAATCATGACAGAGGATAATGATGAACATACAACGAATGAACAAAGAGTACAGTCATACAATAACTGAACTATTTTTTGAACAACCTTCAAAACTGCACCAATATTTATGAATATGCAACTTGAATATATATAGATAATCAAGTCTACTCTATAGGGCAGATTGAAGTTGAATCCAATCCATCCTCGAACAATAGGTAGACAAGCATCACTAAGAACGTGATTACAGTTGAATCTAATTTAATTGTGTTCAAAGTTTGGATTTTTGATAAGTACCTCCCAGCATCACTACACACATATATGTACTAGTTTATATTCATGCTGTCAAGCAGTGATCAAAATTACTATTCAAATAAATGAACCGTAAAAGCACTAAGAAAAAGGTAACCCTTCCCCTATTTTTCGATGATGTTTTATCTGACACCTACAGTCCCTAGCCTAATACTTAGGCTTATTTGAAGAAGAGAATGGTTCATCTCTTCCTTTTTCACACATTATCACATGTACTTTGACTAAGTTTATTTCAATGACAATAGAATTTTAGTTTTTTCTCATAGGCTTTATCATTGCTTTTCGGTCCAAAGTTCAGCGATACAGAAATCATATGTCAATCAGTATATTTTGGTGTATGTGAATATAAATTTAGGCGATTGTTCTAAATTTCGTTTACTGAAAGCTGAGAAAGAGTGATGTGAGTTTGTAAAGTTTCGCAACATAATATCCTTAAGATTTAAATTTGATCGTCTCTTTTATTCTGTTATTGCACGACTTAGGGCAATACAATAATCTGCATCAATTCTTTTATTATATGTAGATAAATAGATAGACAGATAGATAAGTAGATAGATAGACAGATAGATAGATAGATAGATAGATGGAGAGATAGATAGATAGATTCGTGTGTACAGACGTATTCTTGGACAGAAAGATTTGCTCGCAACAGTCCGTATCTCACTAATATCAAACTACTTGTCTGACGTCTAAGACATGGTAATGAATGCATATCTTATTATACACCGTTTCAAGTGGAGATAATAGGTGTAAAAGTAAGTAATCAGATTAAAGACTGACGTTTTCATTTTTTGAATGTTTCCCCACGTTCCTTCGAAGACGGAGTCAATGATTTTATCCACTCTAAATATTTCAACTATGATGTTATGGGCAATCGCTTCAATATCAAATGCAACTGAAATTGACATCTGCGACATAACAAATCAGTGCATGTAAGTAGTTGACAATGATGAAGAACTCACTATTGAATTTGACAGATTCAACTCAACTGTATGGGCATATCCACAAGTCATATCTGGTTTCGTTATAACGTAAGTAATGAAATTTGAAAAAGTTGAATATACAATTTTGTACACATTTAATACGGATCATCTCCTGAAATGATCAACCGATTGTGATTATCCTTTTAGTACACAATCTTACAACGAATGACAGTAGGAAAAGTTCATATGTTCAAAAAATGACTAATATATAATGAAAATGACAATCATTTACTGCAAATTTTAAATGTAGAATTGATTTACTTTGAACGTATACACGTAAATCTGCCGATCATCTGCATTGCTGACAGATTTTTGAGTTTGTATATTAGAAAGAACTTTTATATACTGGTGCTAGTGTCGATGTATAAGCCAATTCATTTCATTTTACAACTTGTTTTCAAATTACAGTGGTTTAGATCTAATAATGGCAGTCATCATAATATTCATCAAAGCATTACATACCACAACTACAAGGAATACCGTCTTAATGATCATAACCGTATGTCAAACGCTTTTTATATGGTGGTAGTTATTTTGAATCTATTTCCACTGATTTTTCAGAAACTTCATTTTGATTGAATCACTGTCAGGATTTACTCTCATATACAGTATTTTTGATTTGCGTATGTAAGAATATCAGATAAATCAGAGCCATTAGAGAGTCAAGGGTAACAATGAAATTAATGATAGACAAATGAAGATGACAAGTGAAGAGAAGAGACTTAGCGTGAATTACGACAGACTGTAGGCAGTGATCTGTGAAAGTTTTCTCGGATCATCCTTGCATTTGCACCTGCGATAATGTTAACGCACAGAATCACTTTTCTCATTTATATTTGCGTTTCTATCAAAAATTGAATCATAAAAAAGGTGACTCCACAATGTGAAAGACAACATTGAATGCTGCAAGTAGAAGTTTTGTTCATCTAAAACGTTTTTTTCATGCTATCATTTCGTTTAAATTTTCTTCCATCATATTCCCTACATGAATATGATGATGCCTAATTCACATTTGAAATGAATATGCAGCAGCGAAATAACATTTTTATACATGACCAATTAGTTTGCAGGCATTGTTATTTGGAACAAAGCTTGAAGAATTATTTTTTCGTATTATTTCTAGCTCTTAAGGTTTTTTTAATGCAATTATTTAATATAACACATTTGGTATTTCCTTTTTAGTTGATCATGATGGTTACGGGTGTTGGATTATTGTCTTTATGTGGCAGGTGGTATGAAGAGGTCATTGCGGCAATTGTGCCATTGGCGGTATTGATCTCGGCTTTTATATTGGGTGACAAGATGAAACCTTCGGCACGAAAATGGATTATTCTGTTATTTTGGGTCTGTTGCGGATTAGTCACAGTTGGATTCATCTGCAGCGCTTTAGCTATAATCTGCAAGAACAAGGGAGAGCTTGACGTGAGTTTTACTGAAGTATCAACTTCAACGTATCAGAAGTGATTGCTAATTTATTGATGAAAACGTATTTATGAATGACTTCTAATAACTACGAATTATGATATGTAAACAACAACTAAAATGTCAATAATAATCTCATAGGTTTTCTTATTTGTGCAAACAACTATATTTGGTGATTGATGAAATACGGACTTATTGCAGAAAACTAGTGTTTCTTTTATTGAAAATAGACCGGCAGTTATTTTAAGTTTGCTCCGTTGCTTTCATGATTGAATCATGATTGAATATTCAAGTACACACATTGTAATTACATGAAACACGAGAACAAGTAATATTGAATGGAAAGAAGTTATCTAAATCGTTGTTTAATTTATTGTCAGCTGCAACAAGTAGAGTTGCATACTATCCACGTTGTGTATATCAAATTATTTAAACTATGCCCTAACAACCGGACTATTATCATGGTCGTAGCAGTAAGCATACTTGTGAGTCATTATTTTTCTAGGAATATAATCAAATACTTACAATATTATTTTAAATATAGTAATTGGTTCTCATTTATTCTAGATTGTTATCAAGCCTCTGTCGGACAATCATTTGTGCGATGAAATATTGATAGTAAGTTCTGATGGAAGAATGAATGAAGATGTATATATAAATATGTATATATATATATATATATATAAATATGTATATATATATATATATTTATATATGATCTCATACATGAGGTTAGGTGCGTTTACTGTTATTTGTCTTGAAGCCAAGATTTCAACGTATCAAAAGTGATAACCGTTTAGATGTGGTCGAATAATTATGAAAGTTGGCTTGTGAGTCACCTTATTAATGATAAACATATGAAATTGTCATATTTTTCATTTATCTGTTAAGTGTGAATACTCAAAATGATTTCATGTTAAGTGATTTACGTTTAGGTGAAGCTGTATTCAAAACATTTTGCAGTATTTTGTACACGCATCAATTTTGTTAGAATCATGAAATACAGACTTCAAGATAGAATCGGCCGTTACTTATATTGAACGAAGGCAGGCGGTAATGTTCAATCTGCTCTAGTGCATTCGTCGTTTCTTCGATTCATCTAAATCGGTTGATAAATAATGTTTTTGGAATATAAATCAAATATTCACAAAATCATTTGAAATCCGATATTTTCTTCCGTTTTATTATAGATTGTATATTCGGTTTTCTCGGCCATTTGCTGGTTCATGGCAATGTTTATCGTAAGTTTATGAAGAACGAATAAATTTCGATGAATATGAATTAAAATTTGAGCTTACATATTTGCTACTCTCTCTGCACATTGTGAATTGTGGACTGTTATACCTAACATTGAAACTATACATTTATTATGTTGATTAGTGAGGATTTGACATATTTCTTCTTTTGTCAAGAAACAGGATATCTTCTCGAATTATCTGAATGAATAAATAATCAAACAAATCACCTAGTGGGTACTTAAATGGTCTGTATCATCATATCAAGAAATTTCATCATTGAAAGTCCTTTATTATATCAGGTTTTATTATGATGAGTACAATTTATTAACTGTCAGACTAAACATGATAATTTTTTTCACTATTACAGGTGATTGCACTGACAACATACTATTTGATGAAAATAATGAAACCCGAAGATCTTTCAGCTCTTTATCTGACTTTGATTTATTCTTTTGAATATCTGTTATTTGTGATTATTTTAAAATTACATCTCAATTATTTCTTTCATTGTATTCCTTAAATTGTGCTTCTTAGTTGAAGCAATTATGAACAATCAATAATGATTGATTATTATTCATAAAATACCTTGATAAATATAAACGTGTTCTTTCATTTCTATGGAGAATATTTTACATGTCATCACAAGCAGTTATGAGAATGAGTTGTAATCAGTGTCTTATCAGCACTCCATTGAAACAAATTCTTCATATACCAAAAATAATGCATCTATTGATTACTTCAGTGTTATTTCTATTCGATCATAAATTCCATTTCCCAGACATAAGTTGATTCAACTATCTTATTTAAACAAAATAGAGAACTAGTTAAATAAAACTTTGGCTTGCTGCCTTTCTTAACGATCAATAGATTATTTGGCACAGGAAGTATTATGAAAGTAATATGAAAGTACAGTAAATCTAGATCTTAGCCTTCTAAAAATACTGATGTGTTATCAATAGTTATCAGACTAGTTAACCAACAAACATAGACTACACTTCAAGCAGATAAAATCACGAGGAATAGTCCTCATCTGTGCATAAACATATTCACGTAAATGTTGTATACGTATATGTAACGTGCATACGTCCCTTTGAATCTAGTTGGCATCTATTCAAACACACCTGAATTGTACGTGTTGGACCTGAAAAATCGTCAAAGCAGAAACAATAAAAACAGGTCTGTACACTATACTGATCAAGGAGGCATAAATCATAAAGTTTGCAGTAGTTGTAAAAAGTGGTTTAACTGCATACATAAAATTATCGATCGCCCAGTCAATTCACATTTCAATTATTATTTTAAGAAATTTCAATTTCCTACAAGCCTGGTCTGTGGGGTAGAAGATTTCGTTTGCTCACATCTCCTTACGAAATAGCATTATGTAACTGATCAATAACATTGATCCTACTATTCTCCGGTAAGCACGTCCAGGACTCATGTTAGAAACCTTCAAACGGTTTCACGTCTAATTCTTTCACAAACATATCTAGAAAATTACGACAAAACGTCGCTCACTCGTGACTTATCGAGCTACAGACATGATATAATCAAAGCGTCTAATCACTATGCTTCAATATTATATCCCATCAATCAACCTAATTACTCACAATTTGGTTCTTCTGAGTTTTATCTATCCATACGATTATTTGTCCATTCAATATTCTTCCAGAAACGTGTCTTGATAACCTTGCATAAGTGCAGGTGTACAGTGAAATGCTCTGAAGTTTAGGTAATCATACGTTTGTTTTATTTAAAATTATTATCAACAGTCTGATGACTCTGCTTTATTCGAGAATATTTTCTGGTAATTACCTTGCATCTTTCTATTGTTTCCTCTTTATCTGTAACACTACGTTGAAACTTTAAGTCATCGCATATGAAATCAAAGTAAATGAACAACCTTTTACAAAAAGCAACCTAATCTTTCTTGTGTATCGGCATACCTCTTGTAACATGATTGTCATTAAAGAATAGATTATTATCACCATCATTTTTATTAACGATCAACAAAATCAGAATCGTGGATGAATCTTTGACGAAATACAAAATGGTGATAAAATTTTGTTTCTTTGATTCTTCAAAAGATTGAACAACATTGGTGGGTATACGCAACATATTCTGTTTTGATAAATAGTTTTTCGAATAAGACAGCTTTGAAAATTTTGATTTGTTTTTGCTAGACTTCTGTCAGTTACTTCAATTAAAGTAGCATTGTCTTACTGTTACTGTGAGGATAGTCATCCTCTTCTGTACCGTTTGTCATTGATCTGCTGGTAATATATATCTGTACAACTTAAAATTCCTTCACTTTTTTTGATAAATGTCACATTTTTATCACTATTTCTATTGATTCTTTTCTTTAGGTAATCAGTTTATATATAAAATCAATTAGTGTATGCGTACTAGCTACCAATCAATTCTTTTCCCCGTTTTCTCGAAGGTATTTAATTACTCATTTTTAAGATCTGTCCTTGCACTTCAACATTTTCTCAGTTAAACAAGTATCATAAGCGACAAGCTGAGATAAATCATTATATTTGATATCCGAAGTGAGTTTTTACGGTTAATTACAGTGGTTACTTCATTTGTTTTAATGTTTAATAGTGTAATAATCATTTTCTGGTTGATAATGCTAACCTATTCCTTATTTGTTGTTCAATTAGTGAAATACATGACCGGTGACTAATATATATATATATATATATATATATATATATATATATATATATATATTTATTTATTTTCTAAAATTCTTAAAATTACGCAAAGAATCTTATGCAAATTTAAATGATTTATTTTACCAATATATTGTTATGTGATAATTTCGACAGCAACAACTGTTGATAATGTACTGTCAAACCTATTTTCTTGGAAGATTATTTATTGGATTTGTTCCCTGAATTCTGTTACAGTTATTATATCCATTTATTTTTATGATTCTGTATAATTTTTGCTTGACGGCAATCTGGTGTGTAGAAACCGAAGTGAGGTTTCGATTTACCAATAACTGTCTAGAAAGTTGAGACGGGAGTTATTTCGAACTCTCCAACGGCTTAAGTAAAAAAATCGATATGGCTGTTTCCGTATCTAGGTATCAGCCTAAACAACATAACGCAGTTCGGAAAGAAACATAAAGTTCAATATGGGCACAAAAAACAGAGACTTTAATAGAAACCAAATATTATCGTTTCAAAGTGAAATTGAATGGATAATCAGAAAGTAGAAGTGAAAGAATAATAATAATAATAATTTATTCTCAAATAACAAACATGTTACAAGAGACATGCCAATTTACAGGCAAGATCAAAATGTTGAAAAAAACCTATTACTAATGTAAACATGAGAGGATTTGCATATACAAAGCCGTCCACAATTGATCAGATATTGTGACTTGTTAAAAAACTGTTTTTGTCGTTGGGACTTCAGTTATTCTCTATTGTTTCTAGTTTATTAGAGTTAATACTAATGAAAACCTTCTGATTTCTTCTTTTTCTAAAACGCATTTCTATCAGTCCAAAAAATATTTAATTTCATCGTATGTTTCTTGATATCTCTTCGATTTATTTTTTTATATTCATCTAGGAAGACTCATGCAGCCGTTGACGATCAACTTTGTTAAACCAGGACTAATTGGCTTCGCTAACTTCTTTCACCAAATATTATATTTATTGAACAGTCAAATTTTGCCCTACAAACTACCGAACTCTGTTTTTGATGTAACTGCGTTATATTAAACCATGTGGAAAAAGCTACCGAAACACATTAGCAATTCAATTTATGTGTATGAGACGGCATTGTCCTGTGTAATCCTACTGCTATACACTTATTACAAGCAACTGAAAAAGAAATTTTATCAGAACGTAGAAACTGTATAAGTATGTGACTGACTACACAGAATGTGTAGAAGGTGTAGATGAATTTTCTACCGTAGCAGTTCACTTTGATTCCAGTAGGTGTAGGCCGAACGCGCTATCCCCTATTCCAATATCAAAACACAACAATTCCAGGATAAAGTGGTCTATTATTATAATAAAATGGAATTACAAACATTCACCTGCTAATTAATACACCTTCCGAGTCCAAAATTACCCTGATGGGTGAAAAGAATAAGTGATACTAGTATTAACTGCCTCGGTGTCAAATCCAAATATGGCTGTAGCCACATTATATGACAAATTTAAACAACATGTGTACAGTTCAGAAGCAAACATAAAAACTTCAATATAAGTACAAAATATAGAAAAAATAACAATATACAATGATAAAATATCAAAATAAAATCAAATAGAGTACCAAAATGTCAACAGAAATAGTCAGTCTTATTAAAACACAAATATATAAACATGGAGGGATTTTCCAAAAAACAAAACATTCAAATAAGATTCTCCTGAAGGTGCTTACCAACACATAAACAATTTTAGCGAGGCGCATTGATGATGTAGGCTTATATTCGTGCAGAGTGATTACACAGTGTAATGAACAAAAGCTGTAAGACGATATGTAAGTGATGAATATTTTTTTTGAATAGAAATACAATTCAATGAAAACATGAATAGGCCAGAGAATGTCTTCTGTCAAAATTCTACTGGTTTTCGCTACAGTTTGAACACATTATTCATATCTGCATACAGACACGTCTTTCGTATCAACTAATCAGCACTGCTCATCAGAGTACACATGTGGAACAATGTAACATAAAGCACTAATTACTGTATGTACATTTTATGCAGTCTCTTGTTTACAGTATCACAATTTGTTGTTCCAGGAATCGGCATATTTAAACACAAATCCACCATTCCGTTTTTGAATCTTATTTATCATATTTGTAAAACGTGAATGGAGCCTATTCACATACATAGATAAGAATTTGCCTAAACTTTTGAAGAATAAGGTCGACGGATATGTGTGTTTTCTTCCGAAACTACACAATTTTCAAGTAGATTGTAGGCGTATGTAGGATTACTAATCGGGGCCATGAAATGCTCAGTCCTACTTTATCAGGAAAAATAAACCAAATTATTTAGAGCCGTTGCAATTAGATTATGCTTCCTAGGTCGTTTACTGTAAACATAAAATTTGATCAAGTCGTTTACTGGAAATGAACATTGTAACGACAAGCTTTTATAACGATAATTGATAACTTGAATCTTGATAAATGCTTTACTGAAGAAGATGAAGTAGCGACTCCATCCATATTAAAAAGAAATTACTAAAATACATTGAGGAAGAACTGATTCAAAAGTATCTTTTTGCTTGTACAATAAATAGATGGAGAAAACGTGGACTGAAGGTTTCTTCATGAAATATATTGAAAAAGGTACTTCACATTTTTTAGTTATCTCTAAGTCTTTTGGTAAGGTGAACACAACCGTTATCAGGCGACAGTTTATAAAACGTTTCACCTGACACGTTTAATAATTCTTAGTAATTAGGACTAAAGAAAAAAGTATACTTTCAGACTGTTGTCATTTAGCAATCAGCTTTTGACAAACATCAGTCTAGTCAATCGATGATACGATGGAATATAACTGTGTTAATTTGGCTAGGGACCTTATAGCATTATTATAGATTTTTCTCTTCATTTACTCGTGA